AAGTAGAGTCTGGGTGAGGCTGGGCTGCATCGAGTATCCCACCACCGCAGTGGTGGGGAGCTGCTCATCCTGCGGCCGGCCCGGGCGCCGCCGGCACTTTGAAGGCCGCAGGGCCCCTCCCCGTGCCCTGCCCGTCCCGGCGCACAGCTTAGAGGGAACATTGCACCCAGGGTAACGACTCACGCAGGTGCGTGTGAGAAAAACGCGTGGGCCACACTATCACTAAACTTTGATATCAAGTGGGGGCCACAGAATATCATCCCATGGGCCGCAATTGGCCTGCGGGCCACGAGTTTGAGACCCCTGGTGTAAACTGTGCCCTGCTTAGGACAGACTCATTGAAATGAATGAGACTAAAGGATACTTAATTTAGTCTAAGGATGTGCTCATATGCATATTTACCTGGACGAAAGCCCTACTGAGAACAGTGAATGAATATGTGAGTTACTTATGAGTAATATCCACATCAGATTGCACTGTAAATTAGTCAAGTAGAATGGGATTAATCAGTCTTATTCATTTCAGTGGGTCAAGTCTGAATGGAACTTATACTAGAGGATACCCACTGTGTTTGGCCTTGCTAATGATTACAGAGGATGAGGAAGAGAACTAGGGCCTGTATTTTGCAGCATCAACCATAGCATCTAGTCTCAGTTGTAGTTCAAAGGCTTGACCAGCAGGTAAACCCAAGTAAAATAAATGGAAGACAAGTTGGAACATTACATCAGCAGCACCGGGCTAAGTATATACATGCTTTAACCCCAGGGACCTAGTCCAGCCAAGGTGACTCATTGCAGATTTGAGGATACTTAGGCAGAAATGTGTCAAAAATACTGTTTATTGCATACAATGATCAAAGTATGGATGCAGTGTATACATATGCAAAAGAAAGCTTACACTCAGTTTTTTGTGCAGCAGTATTGGTCCCCTGATCGGCCTGTGGATGTTCCATGGACCTGCAAAGCTGCCTGGATGAGCAACACATTAGTTTGTTTGTTTGTTTGTTTGTTTAGAAAATTTCTATGCCGCCCCATTCGCCAAAGCCTCGTGGCGGCTCACAAAACATCAATTAAAATATAATACACTAAAAAATATAGAACGAATTAACAATATAAAATAAGTCTCCCTGGCCAAAGAATAAAATAAGCAAATAATATTAGCAATTAAAATGACGTTTGAATAAAAAGGTCTTCACCTGGTGCCGAAAAACAAATAACGACGGCGCCAGGCGGACCTCTCTGGGGAGCGCATTCCATAGATGGGGCGACACCGCAGAGAAAGCCCTCCTCCGAGTACTCACCCTCCTAATTTCCTTCACGGAGAGTTCCTGGAGAAGGGCCTCTCCCACAGATCTCAAGGGGCAGCCGGGCATATATGGATGTAAGCGCTCCTTCAGGTAGCCAGGACCCAAGCCGTTTAGGGCTTTATAGGTCACCACCAACACCTTGAATTGGGCCCAGACTTCAATGGGAAGCCAGTGAGGCTGACGGAGGACTGGAGTCATGTGAACATAACACCCAGTCCCCATCAGCAGCCTGGCAGCTCTATTTTGAACCAATTGAAGTATCCAGACCGTCTTCAAGGATAGCCCCACACAGAGCGCGTTACAGAAGTCAAGGCAGGAAGTCACCAACGCATGTGTCACTGTCGCCAGGCAGTCGTACTCCAGGTAGGGGCGCAGCTGATGGATCAGCTGAAGCTGAAGGAAAGCCCTCCTCGCCACTGCTATCACCTGAGCTTCCAATGAAAGCTCTGGGTCGAGGAGCACTCCCAAACTGCGGACCTTGTCCCTAAGGGGAGTGCAACCCCATTCAGGACTAGGTTCAATTCACCCTCTCCAAAGCCCGATCTACTAACCAACAGGACCTCCGTCTTGTCTGGATTGAGCTTCAGTTTATTGGCCCTCATCCAGCCCATTACCTCAGCCAAGCACCGGTTCAGCACAGCCACTGCCTCACCTGGATTGGTGGAAAACAAGAGGTAGAGCTGGGTATCATCAGCGTACTGATGATTCCGCAGCCCACACCTCCTGATGACCTCTCCCAGCAGTTTCATGTAGATGTTAAACAGCAAAGGGGACAAAATGGACCCCTGTGGTACTCCATGGCATAGCTGCCATGACGCAGAGCCATAGTCCCCCAGCACCACCTTCTGGAATCGGTCATTGAGATAGGAGCGGAACCACTGCAAAGCAGTGCCTCCGACCCCCAATCCCGCTAGCCTATCCAGAAGGATACCATGGTCGATGGTATCGAAAGCCGCTGAGAGGTCATCAGGAGGTGTGGGCTGC